AAGTGCCAGTTATTTCAAATTCACATTGGCAAGAGCAACATTTATCTCAGCAGATGCATCAGCCACAAAATGGCATAAATGGCATATGCTGAAAGATCAAGCTGTGTGATGAGGCTGCCATGCCTAGACTTACATTATTATACTTCCAGTCTGAAATTGTTACTGTTATATTTTCCGAACACTTTCCCGGGTAGAAAGAAAATGAGTTTTCCCAGTCTGCACCAGTGTGATAGACGCAGACCAGTGGGAAGAAGCGAACGAACAGGGTACTGTTGGTTGTAGCAAATAAGGACTCATGGGTACTGAATTGGTTGGGGTCATACCCTGCATAGATGGTACAGCAATGCTTTCATGTGAGGTCTAGCAGGTATTTGTTTACTTTTTGCTAGCTTTCTGGGGTCAAATTGCTGCTGGCATTGAAAATCTCCTTCTGAATGGCTCCACAGAACCTGGCTTGGTTTTGTTTCCCTTAGTTTGTGGCTGATGGTATCTTCAAAGCGGAGCTGAATGAATTTCTGACTCGGGAGCTGGCAGAAGATGGCTACTCTGGAGTGGAGGTCAGAGTTACCCCAACCAGGACAGAAATCATCATCCTTGCAACCAGGTAATACGCCTGCCGGTCTGGTTTGTACGCTGCTGGGTTATGCGTAGCTACTGTTTGGGTAGGACACTGTATCTTATGTGTGTGTTTTTACAGAATATTCAAAAGGATGAGGACAGTTAAAAGCAATGTTCCCGCTAAGCTGTGGAGTCTTGTGAGCAAAAATTCTACTTTGTGAGCTACTGGCATTAAAGTTGTGAGCAAGTGATTTGGCTACTGCAGACATTAATTTGCTCTGGAGCCATCCTTCCTGAGCTAAGACAAAACTGTGCGAGCCAGAGGCTAAAAAGCTGTGAGCTAGCTCATACTAACTCAGCTTAGAGGGAACTCTGGTTAAAACGCTGAACAGGAAACATAATACAGGTGTGTACCTCACATGTTAGGCTAGCACATTGGGGTGCATGCTTAATTGAATGTTGGCTTGTTTCTCTTCCTGAATCTTGGAATTGGCTCTAAAGCTTGAAGGTGCTTGAAGGCTCAGAAAAAGTCGGGGACCCCTGAGTGAAGGATCGCCACAGTCTGTGTGCGCTCCTTGGTTCATCATGAGATAAAATCTTGGTAAATGTCAGCTATTCTTCGCTTTTTAAAAAGTCGCTGGTTAAGAACATAAAAGAAGCCAATGTTGGATCAGGCCAGTGGCCCATCTGGTCCAACACTTTGTGTCACACAGTGGCCAAAAATACCAGGCGCCATCAGGAGGTCCACCAGTGGGTCCAGAACTCCGGAAGCCCTCCCACTGTTGACCCCCCTCCCCCCAAGCACCAAGAAGACAGAGCATAACCTGCCCCAGTCTGAGAGTCCCTATCTATCCTTTGTGGCTAATAGCCACTGATGGACCTCTGCTCCATATGCTTATCCAATTCCCTCTTGAAGCCGTCCATGCTTGTAGCTGCCACCACCTCCTGTGGCTGTGAATTCCAGGTGTGAATCACTCTTTGGGTGAAGAAGGACTTCCTTTTATCCATTCTAACCCGACTGCTCAGCAATTTCATTGTGTGCCCACGAGTTCTTGTATTGTGAGAAAGGGAGAAAAGCCCTTCTTTCTCTACCTGCTGTATCCCATGCATAATCTTGTAAACCTCGATCATGTCACCCCTCAGCCGTCGTTTCTCCAAGCTAAAGAGCCCCAAGCGTTTTAAGATGGGTTTTTTAACACTGAAATTTCTGGTGCCTCTGCTGTTCTGCATGGACCGAGCACGGGGGGCTGCGTGTAACTCCATTAACGTATGACACTCTGTGGCTGTTTATATGGCATGGAAGCATCGCGGCCAGTGCGATCTGCTTCTTTAACATAGCTGGATTATCTCCAGTTGTTTTAAGATTACCTGTGAGGAGGGAGATGGATTGCTTTTGTACTCTTGTTAACTCCGCCGTCCCTGTGTTCTGGGCTCCAGAAAAGCCGGCAATCTCTCCTAAAACCCAAGTTCCTTGAATGCCTGCCCCGAGTAGATTATACTTCTCTTTGTAAAATGTGACTATCCAAGCAACCATAGAGAAGTGCTTACCGCGTTGCTTTCTTTCAGAACTCAGAATGTTCTGGGTGAAAAAGGGCGCCGCATCCGAGAGCTGACCGCCGTTGTACAGAAGCGTTTCGGCTTTCCCGAAGGAAGCGTGGAGGTAAGCGGCTGTTTCAGGTTTTGTTCTTGTTCCCCGCTCTTAAGTTCCCTTCAGTGATGATCCGATGACGAGTCAGAAATAGACACCCTCCTGCTCAGAGTAACCTCCCCAGGACCACGTTCTGTGAGTCTGGGTTTGGGTGCTCCGGCAGAGGTGTCTTTTGCATTGGATGAGCTTGAGGCATTTGTCTGAGAAGGGAGAGCCTCCGATTGGTTCAGACCTGGATCTGGATGAATCTTTTCCTGCGTTTCTTGTTAAAATGTCTTGTCTGTTTGTAACAAGATTAAAAATAAGTTCCGCTCAGTAAGCAGAGACTCCACTTCAGTTTTAAAAGCATGGAACTGGAATCTCATCTGTGCCATAGCCGTGCATGCTTGAAAGCTGGGCTCCGTCTGTTTTCATAGAACCATAGAGTTGGAAGGGGCCATACAGGCCATTTAGTCCAGTGCGGGATCAGCCTAAAGCATCCCTGACAAGCAGTCCTCCAGCCGCTGCTTGAAGAGCGCCAGGGAAGGGGTGCTCATCACCTCCCTAGGCAGCCGATTCCACTGTTGCACAACTCTTACTGTAGGAAAAAACCCTCTTCCTAATATACAGCTGGCATTTTTCCACCTGTAATTTAAGCCCAAAATGGCAAGTCCTCTCCGCTGCTGCTAAGAGGAACAGCTCCCTGCCCTCCTCTTAAGTGACAGTCTTTCAAATACTTCCAAGAGATCAATCGTCCCCCCTCCTCTTCCTCTCCTCCAGACTGAACATTTCCAAGTCCTTCAGCCTTTCCTCGTTGGGCTTGGTCTTCAGGCCTTGTTCATCCTTGTCACTGGCACCCGCTCCATTCTGTCCTTGTCACTGGCACCCGCTCCATTTCCAAGTCCTTCAGCCTTTCCTCGTTGGGCTTGGTCTTCAGGCCTTGTTCATCCTTGTCACTGGCACCCGCTCCATTCTGTCCACATCCTTTCTGAAGTGAGGCCTCCAGAACTGCACACAGTACCCCAGGTGTGGCCTGACTAACGTCGTGTCCAGCGGGACTATGACGTCTTGTTATTTGGATGTTACGCCTCTTGATGCACCCCAAGACTGCATTAGCCTTTTTTGCCACTGCATCTCACATGACTGCTCATATTTAGCTTACAATAAGAACATAAGAGAAGCCAATGTTGGATCAGGCCAAAGGCCCATCCAGTCCAACACTCTGTGTCACGCAGTGGCCAGAAATACCAGTGCCATCAGGAGGTCCACCAGTGGGGCCAGGACACTAGAAGCCCTCCCACGGTTGACCCCCCCCCCAAGCACCAAGATGACAGAGCATCACTTGCCCCAGAGTCCCTATCTATACCTTGTGGCTAATAGCCACTGATGGACCTCTGCTCCATATGCTTATCTAATTCCCTTTTGAAGCCGTCCATGCTTGTAGCCGCCACCACTTCCTGTGGCAGTGAATTCCAAGTGTTAATCACTCTTTGGGTGAAGAAGTACTTCCTTTTATCCGTTCTAACGTTTGTAACAAATGTTACCCCTAAGATCTTGTTCACCCGTACCCCTAAGATCTTGTTCACACACACTGCTAACAATGGACAGTCGCTAATAGGAGAAGGTCTTGTGTATTAAAATCCACTTTGCAGAAAACTCAGCAGAAGTTACCAGCCCCTAAGTTTTCTTTTGTAGTTTGTCCAGATGTGCCTATGTTAAGTCACATTCTCCTGAGTCGCAGATGATTTTTGACCACTAGATGGTTGCACCTAGTTCTTCTCGCTCTCCCCAGTCTGCCAGTAGCTTATGGGCAGAGCAGCCTGTCACTTTCTCGGGCATCGAAAAGATGAAGGGTGGTGAGAAAATGGTGGAGTTCATGTCTCTGCTTCTGCAAGATTGTCTGAAACAGGCAGTAGTGGTCACTGTCAACGCTGCCTCTAAGCTGTGGGGTCTTGTGAGCAAAAAAATTCTACTTTGTGAGCTACTGGCATTGAAGTTGTGAGCAAGCGATTCGGCTACTGCATCAGTTAGTTCGCTCTGGAGCCATTCTGCTTGAGCTAGGACAAAAATGTGTGAGCCGGAGGCTAAAAAAACCTGTGAGCTAGCTCACACTAACTCAGAGGGAACACTGGCCACTGTGTGTTTGAGCTGCTCCAGTCTCATCTAGGCACTGAGATGAATGAGAGTACATAGCGAGCAGGAGCCTGCCGGTGAACTGTGCGAGATGCAGCTAGGGCTGCGTTGTGATCTTTTGCACACGCCACCTCAGTCCTGCCTGTTCTCACTGTGGCCTTCTCTGTTAAGTTTTCAGTCGCTTTGCTCTCCTCGTGCCACTAGGCCTGCCTGGAACGATGCTTGTCCAAGTACAGTCCAAAACAAGTAGAGTCACCTAGTGGAGCTCCACCAGCAGCCCTTCCTTCCCGGAAGTGTCTGGATGGTTCGAGCCAGCAGGTGCAGTTGCTGTTTTGGAACCACTGGTTCACAATGCATCTTCACAAGGCATAGAGCCTTAGTGGGCCCGGCCCGCGGAGTGGAGGACGGCCCCTCAAGCTGGTTTTGTAAAGCCTTCCGTGAGTCCCCCGTGGGCATGTAAGTATTGGCCGAGGGGTGTGTGTGTGTGAGAGAAGCCGATGTGCTGAAGTTCCCTGTCTGTCGTTCAGGTTACTTAAGCTCTGCTCCTCAGGCTTTCTGCTCAAGCAACGGGGACTGGGTCCCGTCGATCCACTGTGCTGTGGGTCCCCAACTCGGTGCCCAAGGGGAACCCGGCCCCCGCCAATACCGTTCCTGGCACCTGCCAAGTGTTTGTAAATAGTAGTGGGGCTTCTGCCCAGCAAGGTTTCTGATTGGCCATTGGAGGCTTGATTGGCTGTGCTGCCACCACAATATAAGGCGTAGGCGCCCACAGGCTCAAAAAGGTTGAGGGTTCCCGCGCTGTGCTAACGGCAATACTTCCTCTGACATAAGAAGCCATCTCTGCTGGAATGTGCCTGCTCTGGCCTGCAGGCATGCTGCTCCTCCCACATCTTCAGTTTCAGGGTCTCTGTTTCCTTCTCTGCCTGCGAACACAACCTCTACGGCTCTAGCTCCTTGAGTCGGACCTCGCCCTACCGGCTCGGGCACTCAGCTGCAGCCGCCCCTACTGACCCGCCACTGTTTAGCAGGAGAGCCTTCATCTCATCCACAAGTCCTGTTCTTATAACCTTATCTGCTACTTCTGGCATTCTTCCTGCAGCTCTTGCTTCGTCATCTTAAGAGTTCTCACCTGCTCTGCTAACTCCACCTTAGCTAGTCTGATCTGGCCCTGTTCCAAATGACCTGAAAAAACCCAAAACTTCCGTTGCTCTTGTTTTTCCTTATCCCCACTATGCTGCCAAGTTATGGTGGAATTGGCCTGTGGACCCTATTCCACCCTGCCCACCTAGGGCTTTCTCAATCCCTAGGGAGGCTTTTTTTCACTCTCAGGTAGCCTGCTGCCACCACCTGACCTTATTAAGGAATTGCCTGCTTCGGGGGGGGGGGTTCAGGACTCCAAGTTTCCCTTTTAAGTTTTGCCTCTGTGTCTCCTAGTGCCTTGTCACATGGGGACAGTTTACTGCCTTGTGCGCCCCTGAAGGAATAGCTACTTGCCAACTGCCTCCAAGACGATGGAGGTCTGTGTGGTACAGAAAACCACTACCAGCTTCCAAAGTCTTTATTACAAAGAAAATGTTAGCAAGCATACTTTCAGCACTGCACCAGATTGAGCAAAGGCTACAAAAGAAATAGATAGAACACAACTCCTCTGTCCCTCTCTCTATACGTGCTGTATCAGATGTTAAAATAGGACAGGCTCCTTTAGCTTAGAAGTTGCAGATCTCTATATAGTTTGCATTACCTTGAAGCTCCCTTCAGCTGTCCAGGCCAACCACACGGTCAGTGGCAGCCTCCTTAGTTGGGATACCTGCCTACTCTCATGGCCTCAGGAAAAGAACCCTCCTTCCTGTTGCAAGGAGCTCTTACCATATTTGTTTCTCCATCTGCTGACCAGGTCACGTCAGATCAAAGAGGCATTTCCCGGGGATCTCCTTTCCTGGCATCCCTCTAGCATTTCATTCCTCCAAAACTCAATGTTCCCTGCTAGGAGAAAGTGGAGATCTAGTTTTATGAAAAAAATAATTTTATTAGTTTTATGCACAGGGAAAGGGGAAAGAAGGGGGAAAGGAAAGATAAAGAAATACATACATACATACACATACACACACACACACACACACAAAAAATCCGGTTTAACATTCTGCATGCAAATCTTCTCATTAGAGCTTCACAACTACTACATCCATCATCATTATTCTTCATTTAATCTTATTTTCTCACTACTTAAGTTTTAGCTGGTCATAAAAGGCCCTCCACGGTCCCATAAATTCTTCTTCCATTTGACCCACCTGTTATCTCTCCTGCTAGGTCTGTTAGCATTTGTGTGAAGGTGAGTTGAGATAAGTCTGGGAAGCAACTGAACTGGCACGCGCACACGTGCCCCTGGTCTATGCCCAGAGGGGGGGGGAACCTGTTGAAACATGGAGGCTTGGCTCCTTTCAAACCTCCCAGGGCAACATGCATTTCTTCATGCCTTCCGTTGGCACTTTCTCAGCAAACCTGTCTTTGGGTAGCAGTAAAATCGCGCCACCTTCTGCGAGCCCTTTTGATTGCTTTCCCTTACAAAGACTCTCCTTCCTCTTCCAGCTGTATGCCGAGAAGGTGGCCACGAGAGGCCTGTGCGCCATCGCCCAAGCCGAGTCCCTGCGCTACAAACTCCTGGGGGGGCTGGCGGTGCGTCGGTAAGTCGCCGGCACTCCGGCTTCGCTACCACTTGGCTTGTATGTCTCTTCTGTTGTCGCTGGTCCCTGTGTGTTGCAAGCCCTCACCCTTGCAGGTGGCAGGAAGGAGGAGAAATAAACTGGACGTCTTACTGTCAGCTGGAAAGCTAAGATGCTTAGTCCTCTTAAGGCTGTTCTCTAAGTTCGTTCCGCCTCACTTCCCATACTCAAACGCAGAGAGCGTCTACGTGGCAGCCTTGACGATGGGCTCTGGATACCGCAAGCCGTTCCCCTTCTGTGATGATACGATGACGAGTCAGAAACGGACACGATCCTGCTCAGAGTAGCCAGCTCGGGGCCACGTTCTGTGGGGCCCGTGCTCGGGTGCCCTGGCAGGCGCGTCCTCTTCCTTGGATGATTCAGAGGCATTTGTCTGAGAAGGGCGAGCAGAGCAGAGGCGTGGCTATCTGAAGGACAACGGCTGCGCAGTCCGGCATTGGGCTGTTCTGTTTCTTTGGCTTCTGCGGAGAAACTGAGAGGGGAATGTGAAGGTGGGAATGTTCCTCCGCAGCGGCCTGAGGGTCCCTCTCCTCCCTCCCCAGGGCGTGTTACGGCGTCCTCCGCTTCATCATGGAGAGCGGGGCCAAGGGCTGCGAAGTGGTGGTGTCGGGGAAGCTCCGGGGGCAGCGAGCCAAGTCCATGAAGTTCGTGGACGGCCTGATGATCCACAGCGGAGACCCCGTCAACTACTACGTCGACACGGCCGTGCGCCACGTCCTCCTCAGGCAGGGTGAGTACGTGGGGGTGGGGTGGGGCGCCCGGCGGCTTCTCGGCCTGCATCTGGGGAAACGGCTGCCACTGCACGAACTGGGCTGCTTCGGCCACCCTGTGAGATACTCAAATCATCCCTCCCACTCCCTGCCTTTTACGGACAGGAGTAGGTGACGGGTATGTACGAGTATGCACTACTCAAACCCCTCTCCACCCCCATAATATCCATAAGTTCTTTCCAAAAAGTGGAAACAAATTGTGTTTCTCTGTCAGAGATCACCTTAGTTGGCAAAAGGTGCAGACGCACAATCTGCGCAAAGAATGCTTTAGCCAATGCTTTTGCCGTGGGGAGGTATTTGTCTGGATGCGTGGAGGATTCCAAACAGAATGTCCGAATCCTCCACGCATCCAGACAAATACACGTTTGTAGCAAAGTAGTATTTATTAAAGCAATGAAGAAACTGGAACACAGGGACTGTTTGGAATGACCACAAGGTGCAGGGCACAGCATAATAAACAAATTCATAATATGCAATAACCAATAGTCTTGGTTCCCGCTAACACGGGTAAGTTGAAACTCGCGCCTAAAGCCTGAGAAACAACTGCTCCTGAAAGATAAACAATTAATTGCTTCTCATGCACTAGCTCATAACAAATTAAGCAAAGACCAAAATGACTCCCGCTCCACACCTGTGTCCTTGGAAGATAACTACGTTTCAAAGCAATACTAGTGTTCACAGAAAGGAATGCGCTTAACAAGCTACTGACGGTGGGGGAAGGGAAGAGGTTACACTGAGATGCACAGAACTCCAAAAGATTACACAGAACTCTTTGGCAGCTTGCTGACAAACCGCATGCATGCTGGGATAACATCATGGGCGGATAGGTGCAGGTGGGGTGGGCGTGTCAGTCTGAAGCAGCAGAGCAAAGTTTGAGACCAGCGGCCCCTTTAAGACCCAACAAAGCTTAATCCTGGGTATAACCTTTTATGTCCATGCACTTCGGATACACATCACGTATCCGAAGAAGGGCGTGTGCGCACGGAAGCTTATACACAGAATAAAACTCTGTTGATCTTAAGCTGAGAGCCAAATTTTATATCTCACTTTTCTCCCCATGGGGGGGACCCAGAACGGCTTACAACATTCTGCTCCTCCTCCGTTTTATCCTCACAACAACCCTGAAAGGCGGGTTTGGCATGGAGCGTGTGACTGGCCCCGGGTCTCCTAGAAGGCTTCCGTGGCAGAGTGGGGATTCGAACCTGGACCTTACAGATCCTACTCGGGCACTATTGACCGCCGCAACCCCACGCTGGCTTTTCATCTTTAGTTAGTTAGCTTATTTCTTCACATTTATAGGCTGCCCTTCCCAGAGGCGGGCTCAGGGGCAGGTAGCACTCCATTTATACAAAAATACTAGCCAACACAATAAAATTAAATGTAAAGCACCTTCATAAATATTAAAATGGTCATCACAACAGATAGCAAAGAGATTTTTCTGGTTGTTGTTCTCTAAGTTCGTTCCGCCTCACTTCTCATACTCACTCAAACGCAGAGAGCGTCTGCGTGGCAGCCTTGATGATGGGCTCTGGATACTGCAAGCCGTTCCCCTTCTGTGATGATACGATGACGAGTCAGAAACGGACACGATCGTGCTCAGAGTAGCCAGCTCGGGGCCACGTTCTGTGGGGCCCGTGCTCGGGTGCCCTGGCAGGCGTGTCCTCTTCCTTGGATGATTCAGAGGCATTTGTCTGAGAAGGGCGAGCAGAGCAGAGGCGTGGCTATCTGGAGGAGAACGGCTGCGCAGTCCGGCATTGGGCTGTTCTGTTTCTTTGGCTTATGCGGAGAAACTGAGAGGGGAATGTGAAGGTGGGAATGTTCCTCCGCAGCGGCCTGAGGGTCCCTCTCCTCCCTCCCCAGGGCGTGTTACGGCGTCCTCCGCTTCATCATGGAGAGCGGGGCCAAGGGCTGCGAAGTGGTGGTGTCAGGGAAGCTCCGGGGGCAGCGAGCCAAGTCCATGAAGTTCGTGGACGGCCTGATGATCCACAGCGGAGACCCCGTCAACTATTACGTCGACACGGCCGTGCGCCACGTCCTCCTCAGGCAGGGTGAGTACGTGGGGGTGGGGTGGGGCACCTAGCAGCTTCTCGGCCTGCATCTGGGGAAACGGCTGCCGCTGCACGAACTGGGCTGCTTCGGCCACCCTGCGAGATACCCAAATCATCCCTCCCCCTCCCTGCCTTTTAGGGACAGGTGTTGGTGACAGGTATGTACGAGTCCTGATAGAAGAACCGCGTGCATGCTTGGATAACATCATGGGCGGATAGATGCAGGTGGGGTGGCCGTGTCGGTCTGAAGCAGCGGAACAAAGTTTGAGTCCAGCGGCACCTTTAAGACCCAACAAAGCTTAATCCTGGGTATAACCTTCCATGTCCATCCACGCGCACTTCAGATACACATCATGTATCCGGAGAAGTGCGCGCACAGAAGCCAGTTTGGTGTAGTGGTTAAGTGTGCGGACTCTAATCTGGAAGAACCGGGTTTGATTCCCCCCACTCCTCCACTTGCACCTGGCTGGATGACCTTGGGGAAGCCATAGTTCTGTCTGAGCTGTTCTTGAAAAAGAGCTGTTTCTGTCAGAGCTCTCTCAGCCCCACCTAACTCACAGGGTGGGGAAGGGAAAGGAGTTTGTAAGCTGCTCTGAGACACCTTTGGGTAGTGAAGGGCGGGGTATAAATCCAATCTCCTCCTCCTGTGCAACCCTAATTCCTATTTATTGTTTATTGAATGTCTCATCTGTTGATGGTATTGACTCGCTCTGCGTAATCCACCTTGCGTCCAAATGAGAAAGGTGGACTACAAATACAGTAAATAAGCGACCCTAGAAGGAGGGCCAGTAACAGTTGAGAGCCAGTAACGGTTATTAAAGGTATGCCGGGTGTAACAGTGAAGTTTTCACCTGCTGGCAAAAGACACCGATAGAGGGAGGCAGATGAGTCTCTCTGGGGAGGGAGTTCCAAATTTTATATCTCACTTTTTTCCCCATGGGGGGACCCAGAATGGCTTCCAACATTCTGCCCCTCCTCCGTTTTATCCTCACAACAACCCTGAAAGGCGGGTTTGGCATTGAGCATGTGACTGGCCCCGGTCTCCTAGAAGGCTTCCGTGGCAGAGTGGGGATTCAAACCTGGACCTTCCAGATCCTAGTCGGGCACTATTGACCGCCGCAACCCCACGCCGGCTTTTCATCGTTAGTTAGTTTGCTTATTTCTTCACATTTATAGGCTGCCTTTCCCAGAGGCGGGCTCAGGGGCAGGTACCATTCCATTTATACAAAAATACTAGCCAATAATACAATAAAATTAAATGTAAAGCACCTTCA